TACTGATAGGTGGTTGGGGTTAAGAATGAGTAAAGAATGAGAGTCAGTTTCCAACACTGCAGACTAAAAAGCCAATCCCATTTCAGTCTGTCTTAGCAGAAGCAATGTATCCAAGATCAATCATTCTATGCAGTACAGACAGGTTTACCGTTATGCCAAATTCTATGCACTAGTTTTTACAGATGGCAATACACCAGCAAGAATTCAAAAGAGAACTGAAGAAGATGAGGAAGACAAGTCACAGAAGGGGGAAAATAAAGGCTATACATTTAGAACTGAGAAAAATAAAAGTATGCAAAAGGCCCTTCTAATCAGACTCAATGGTCTTATTAGCTATCCATCCTGTACTCAGCAGGAGCCAAACAGTTAAGACCAGAAGAATCACAAACAGGTAATAAAAGCGGTAACCCTTCTTGACTATTTACCTGCTAGCAGCTGTAGTTCTCTAATTGGGACTAGCACTTAATTTAAACCTAAAGACCAAAATGGGCCAAGATGTTTTCTTGAATTTTTTTTACACTACTTTCTCTAAGTAAAGAGAGGCTTAGGCAGTTCTCTGTAGGCAGTACATCTTCCAAAATACTAAAAAAAGGCCCAAAACCAGCCAGCTACAGACCTAATTCTAAAAAGTGCCAAGAACTTTTGGTTTCATGTAATTAAGAACACACACAGAAATTCATTAAGAATTTTAGACTTTGATCGTAAACATGTCTATTCAAAAGTCCTGCAAAGTTCTCCTTAATAAATATGCTTAATTAGGATTATAGTCCTCTATTTAACAGAAATCATCAGGAGGAAAATGACTACAATTCCACCAGAAGTGGACTGCCACCTAAAATTATGCCAAATATAATTTGTTGGTCTTTAAGGTACCACAAAACATTTAGTTGTTTTTGCTGCAACAAAAAGCAAACTGATGGTGACAAGCTGCAAAAACTATGCTTTGGCAATTTCTACAATTGCTAATATATCACAGAGAGTAAAAAAAAAATATTGCATTTAATTTAGACAATGGTACATTTAGGTCACACATTAGAAAAACTGCATGATTTTGTAATGGAACATTGTTCCAGAGAGGACTCCTCCATTGTTTGTCAAAGGTCACCTTGATTACCCTCTGTCAGGGACTGGTTTGATCTGACTACTGGCATTAGGAAAGAGCAGCCTTCTCCAACCCTGTTTCCAGAGGACCTCACATGGCTGGGATCTGATGGGCATTGTACTCTGCCAAATGTGGAGGACACAAAATTGGGAGGGCTCAGGACATTGACTAGAAACAAGGAATTGGGATGAGATAATGAGAAGAGTTAAGATTCTACATGAACACTCAGATTTATAAGTAAAAATGGAACTAAAATGATAAACCTTGTGATAAACTTTATGTGTGATGGCAGAACTGACAGAGAAAAGGAATCTTCCCCAATGCTAGATTCCTCCTTACTGGGAAGTACCACCAGTAGAATGTTTTCACCACAGATGCCCAGAAACAGAAATGCATCCTCTTTTTCCCTTTTGCAAGTATTATAATGAATGTTTGCCCAAATTTGAGCCCAAGGGGGCAATGCTTTTCCACCATGGTTCTTCATCCCCGTGTTAAATGACTATGGCCTCCACAAATTGATCCTTTCTCCTCCCCTTTTCCTTTCTTCATTTTTTTAAGTTCCCACTTGATGACACTATAGTTGGGAGGGTTGCAAGGAGACAGACAAAGCTCCCCATTATTTCAGCTTGGCAGCGGCTGGTTTGATCTGACTATTGGCCCTGATTTGTTTCACATTTCAGCCAAAGTTTAAAACAGCTCTGTAATTCTAAGCAGATGAGCCTGTGAGTCTAACCCTATAATTATACCTTCTCTCCTTACTTGGCCTATAACCTCAAACCTTCCGTTTTGACTTCTAGACATCCAGATCAGAGAACTTTAAAGAACACCTTGGCGTCCGCGCAGGTCTGTCTTAACCAGACATATTTATACAGACTACATATTGCATAGTGAGCTGCAGGAGAGGGAATAAACACACTCTTTGATGTGTAACTTCTCTTTGTCTATAAAAAGACAAGATAAACAGAAAGCACATGATCTTCGTTATTTTATTCTATGGTATTTGTGTACTCTGAGCTGCCCAAGCAAACGGGAAGGTGTAATTTCTATATTCTAAAAAAGGTACAGATGAGTTTCTGAAATTTTAGATACTGGTAGTGCATTAAATTAGACACAGAACTAACTAAAGTATCTGAATAACACAATTACATTTTCTGAGATACTGACACCACAATTGCCACTGAAAAAACTGAATTATGTTAACTGAACCTCTCTAAAAGTCAGTGATGCATTTAGGGTAGAGTCATATCAGCCTAATCAACTTGTTTAAGCTACAATTGCCAGCATCTCCAGTCAACACAGTGACCATTCCAGAGGATTCTGACAGCTGTCATCTATAAGAAAATAATTTATTCCAGCTCTGTCTATTACCAATTTGTTTCATACTGGATCACCATCTAGGAGTAAAAGTAAGTCTCCCAGTAACGTGTCAGGCAAAAACAAAACAAAAACATAAGTCTCCCAGTAACATTTTGAAGTGATCAAAGACTATTTGGAACGTAGGTGAGGAACCCTGAGATTCTTCAGATATTGTTGAACTATAACTCCCTTGATCCCTGAATACATGCTACAATGATGGGGTGAGTTACTCTCTGTGTTTTCCATGCTAGGTTCCTAGATTAGGATCTATGTACTTACTTTAGCCTCTAAGTAAGTGCATACATTAGATTTTGCTCTAATAAAGTTTAGAGCAAATATCAAGTCATAGCTGTCAGATAATCTCAACCGCTGGAAGTGAAAATCATTATAGCATACTTGAGCTGGGCTTTACTGAATCTAGAACTACCATAGAAAAACAAATTTTGCTTGGAAGATTCAGCATGGTTCCTACAAAGGAATGTCCTGCTCCACTATCCTTTTAGAATTCTCCAAAGGATCAGATGTGGATTGAAACAATTCAGCAGACATTAGATAGGTGTTTTTCAGAGACGATATAATAATTTTAGAAAAGGCTTTTGTGTAATCTAAGCAGTAATGAATTAAAGATGCAGGTTAGTCTCCTTACAGTTCAGTAATCACTTAAAGAGGAAGCAAAAGAGACAATCACTTTAACTGCAGTCACAAGAGAAAGAATCTCAAGCATCAATACTGGGAATATTTAACATTCATGCTGATCTGGAATCACAGCAAGATGTAAGGAATCAGATCATAATGATCTGGAGTCAAGGGCAAATTGTGACCAAGTTTGTAAATTAATCCATATAATTCAGAATAAGAAATTCAAAGGCAGACTATTAGGTTTTGAGGAAAATATCACTGTTATGCATGCACAGGAATCAAAATAGCAAGCAAGGATCAGTCCTAGTAAAAAGTGAAACAATGCACACATAGGGCAGAAAAATCTAACCATAATGAAATTTAAAAGTTGATTATCCAGGAGATGTTTCATGTTTAGCTTAATGAAAACATCAACATAATGTAGTATGTAGCAGCAGTAAACAAAGATGAATTCCACACTAAAATTTACTAGGAAACAGGTTGCCAGCCAGTAACAGGTTGGATTTGTATAAATACTTGTTGTTCTCGTGTATGCAATTCTGTAGTTCTCTTTCATCCCATCTCAGAGGATAGAAAAGGTGCAAAAAAGGAAATGAAATGATCCAAGAGCTTCAGTCATCTTTCATGAGAAAATAAGCTATTTATCTGAGAAAATAAGGCAACTAAGGTGGAGTATGACTAGTGTGGAAGGCAAGGACAGGTATTTTGCTTTTTCCCCTTTCATAATACCAGACTACCTGAATAAATTAATTGACAAAAGATTCAAGACAAAATATGACACAGGGGGCTTTAAAAGTGGATTTGACAAATCAATGGTGACTTGGTCTATCAAACTGACACCTCCCTGTTGGGAAATAAACTATCAGGGAGGCCTATTTCCTTCACTACCTCCTTGTGGACCTCATAGCTAGTCAAGGTTGAAAACATGATGCTAGTATACAAGGATCCTTGATCTGGTGCAGCTGAACTATTGTTATGGGCAGGTTTTCCAGACATATGTACAACTGGAGCATGCACAGGTACATAATGGTGTTTGTAGCTGTTTTTAATATTACAGTGATCAATAATTGTGATAGCAATGCACTGCTCTTGTTCCAGAGCAAAACAACTAAAGCTGAAAAAAGGGTTTATACCTATAGTATGAAATTTAGACACCTTTCCAGGTCCTATGCATGCAAAATCATATACTCTACACTTTCCTTATGTGTATGCAGTCTTGGGGGGGGCATAGGAAGTTGCATTTTCTGTGCATATTCCATACATTGTATGGACCAAAAGTGGGATGATATTGACATGAATCATACAGCTTACATAGAGCAAATTAAGTAAACATCTGCTTTCCCTCATACATAACTATTACATTCAATTCTTTATCTTACCAAACAGACCAGTAATCACAAGAAATAACTTGCAGCAAATACATCTGTACATACATTAAATAATTCCTACCTATAGAAATGTACTGTAAAAATCTCAAAATCAGGCCACAAAAGTTTTGCATTTTCAGACAGTTCAGCGATGTGTGTTCTTCAGCAGTTCCCAGGAATACCTCCCTTCTATGCAGACGTGAGTAACAGTACCAAGCTAGCCACATTGTCTGTGGCAATTTATAAAGTTAAAAATAAAATAGGTAAAATACATATTTGGATGGCTGCCAACAGCTGTCGGTCTAGGGTAGAATGACAGAGGAAAATGCAAGCACGATTTTTTTATGTACTACCAACACACATGGTGATTTACAAAGATAAAGCAAGAGACCTGGCAGTGACAGTGCCCAATCTTCTCAAGAGAGAAGTTTTATTATTGTTGCTGCTGTCGCTATCATTCCTCATATGTTCACAAAGAGAAGAATTAACAACCGCATGACAAAAAAACACCTCTCCTTTCTAGCTGCTAGACTCACCGTGCAAAAGCAGGGCCAGGAACAGGTACCTCAGCAGACTGCAACAGGGACAGGACATTTCCAGCTCTCCAACAGCTTCTTCGGGCAAAGCCGCCTTCTTTTTCCCTCCTCCTTCCTTTTACTCCACGCTTTCTTTTTCTTTTTCAGGCTCCCTTTCTTCCAAAGCTTCGAAGGTCCTTGTAACCCCAGCAATCCCACCCACCGACGCC